GTAGACTCGGTTCGGTTCGGGACCAATATTCATGAGCTTTTGTTTACATTTGAGCTGGTGCGTTTGCATTCACACTGCACTGTGCAGTCGAGTCAACCTGTTGAACCAACCTATTCCCCCGCTCGCCTGAGGGGGCGCTGCACCAAGAACTACTGAAAGAAACGACACAAAACCTCTGAATGAAGACACGTCTTCTTCTTCTGTAAATAAAAATAAAATGAAGTGGCATGAAGTTTTAGCAGTTTTATGAGTTATATTTTGTCATTTTTCAAAAATGGACTTAGCATGAGCAGAAGATGAGACAGAAGACCATGGAGAATATTGTTCTTCACACAAGGCAGCTGATGGCTCCATATAAGATCAGAGAAATGCGTGTTTGTTTACCCTGCGGAGCGGGGCTCGGTCTGTTTACATTCACACTGTACTCGAACCGCGCTGGAGTTCTCTTATTAGAAAGAGACCTAGGTTTTAGCCCGGGCCAGAGTTTGCCTTTTTGTTCCGTGACAGAGTTCGATGGCGCGTTCACACCTCCCTAAACGAGCCGGACTTTCAAGGAAAACGAGCTAGAGTTTGATTAAAGCGGACTAAACAGGGCTGGTGTGAATGCACCCTTAGATTGTGGCCTTGGACTCAATGTTGATCCAGCTTGTTTTGATAAAGAAGGAGCTGAGCCAAAGGACAAAGCTAGTCTGTTTAGAATCCAAACCCCACCTATGGTCATGACCACGAAAAGAACAAGATCTTGGATTCAGGCAGATGAAAAAACGTTGAAGGGTAGCTGGGCTTAGCCTTGGAGTTAGGGTGTGGAGCAATGACAGCCAGAGAGAGTTCAGAGTAAACCTTGTAATGAATTTCCACTCAAAAATTCTAAATTTCATAGATAAAATTGCACATGAAAATTTTGACCTATTAAAAAACACAATATCTACCTGAGTAAATGCCTCGGTTGTTAAAAATTTAAAGAGAAAATGTCGACAGGCAAAAGACAGTGACAGAAAAATACATTTCAAACTCATTGTGATATTTATAAAGTTCAACTGCTTGAATACAACAAAGAAATGTATGCCAGACCGACCTTCTTTTTCAAAATTATAAATGAAAATATAAACCACAAAAATTACTTCTTTCAAATGTTGACAAAATTAGAAATTCACCTTCCAAAACCCCATCAAAAGTTTGATCAAAAAATGTGAACAGCTTTTTTATACAACAAACTCATTAAAATTAGGGAAAATATAATATATTAATTATTATTATATATAATAATATAAGTGCATCAAGATTGCATGATGTTCTTCATGATGCATCACTTGCATCATGAAGAACCTCACTCACCCAGCACTCACACTTTTTGCCCCGATCCCCTCAGGCAGGACGTTGAGGAGCATTAAGTGTAGAACCACTAGACTGAGGAACAGCTTCTACCCTGAGGCTGTTAGACTCATGAATCCCTAATCAGAATAATCACTGTACTTTTTTTCCATCACTGTAATGCCACTTTAATTGGTGATATGTGACTAATCTGTGCTGCTGATTATCCATGCTGCTGATCATCTCATGCTGCTGATCATCTCATGCTGCTGATTATCTCATGCTGCTGCATTCATTCTTACCCATCTGCTCACCACATACTCATGGTTGGGCTGCTGTTGTTATCCCGTATTGTTTTACATTATTAGTGTTTAGTGTGTATATTAGATCTTTTAGCGTACCGTTTGGTTAGCGTATAACTGAGTTTATATGGTAGATCCTTATTTACTGTTCCTTTTTATACTTTATATTTTGCTATTTTGGGGTATAACTGGGACTCTGTGTACATAATTTCGTTCCACCTCATGTACCACATGTAATGGAAATGACAATAAAATGACTTGAACTTGATGTGGTAATATTTGTCTTACTTACTTACTAGGATCTGAAGTTTTTTAAAGCACAGTTATTGTTGGAACTAAATACCTACCTAACTAACGTGAACCTTCCAGTACTGTTCCTGTTCCTGATTGGCTTCTGCAGCTGGCCTGCAGCTTCTAATGGATGCAAAGAGTCACCTGATGTAGAGAAAGGAAGAAAAGTCTTTAGAAATAAAATTTAAAAGCTTAGTAAAGTGGAGAAACAAATCATGTGTCTTGGTAAGGGGTCTGCTCTTAAAGGTCCATTTGTATTAGTGTGTGATACATGTTAGTATGTGGTACTGTCTGTGTGTTTGTAACTGTGAGTATCGAAGTAAACATCCACTCTGATTGTAAATAAAACTCTGCTGTTTGATTGGTCAGCTGGCTGACAGCATGTTGAGCAGCAATGAAACTGAAGAGATCATTAAAGATGAGCATGTGGGCAACAGGAGTAGGTCTGTTTGTGTGTTGCAGTAATATATTCAGGTCTTTGTTTATCAAAAGCCTTTTCAGGAAGCAAGTAGAGCAACAGGAGCCGAGTTGGGAGGACAGGTCGCTTCATTTTCGACCTTCATTATTCAGCTAGAAGCCGAGACAATCTGCCAAACCCTTTTTTCATCATCTTATTACAAAGCATATGCATTAGAATGTCCACTCTAATTGTGAAACTGCAGAAACGTTCAAATCTTTAGCACCAGGGAAACAAGCAGCTTATTTCCTCAGGCTGCAAATTTTATTATCTCAAAGAAAATATTTGTTTTTCTGTCTTTACTTTGTTCATTGAATATTGAGAACTATTGTTTTTGTTGTGTTTACTTCAGATTCATGTGATACGCTCACTCTAAATCAAGAACTTAATAAACTTGATCATTCATGACTCACATCATGCAAAACCAACCATTTAGCATAAAATGTTTTATTACATCAGTTAATGCTTCTTTAATGGCTTTTGTTTCAATAAATGAAAGGAAATTTCAAACTTTTCCAGTTTTTTTTAACAAAGACAGATAACATGGAACCGACATCCTGTCAACACCAACATTTTCAGATGGCTTTAAAATACTTAAACAGAACTCTGATGCAATTAATGTTGAGGATGTGTGGAAATGTTCATTTTTAGTAGTAAAGATTAAAGAAATATGGGACTCAGGAAAGTCTTACCTATCCCTGTCTGAACCGGAGAGTCCTCATGTGGCGTCACAGTCACTCCCACCATGTTCCGGTCCAGACACGAGCAGAAGGAGCCCATCATCAGCACAAAGAACATCAGGACAAGGAAATCAGACACCAAAAAGACTGTGTGTGATTTTATATGATGCCCAAATGTCTTCCTCTTGTTTTTGTCCACACTCTGTTTAGAACAGCTCTCCACCTCTCTGCTGCTCTTTTCCTTCTCTCAGTATGGTGGGGGTCTGGAAAGGGTTTGTGTGTGTGTGTGCGCGCGCGCGTGCGTTTGTGTGTGTGTGTGTGTGTGTGTGTAGAATAGAATAGAAACAGCCTTTATTGTCCCACGATGGGAAATTCAAGTGTAACAGCAGCAACAGATAAAAAGATTTCACACAAAAGTTCCTAAATGTTAAAAACAATATATAAAGAAATAAGATAAACAATATCAATAATAATGTTAAATATGTGTTGGAACATTGATAAGGACAGACTATTTACAGTACAGTATTATAGGCAGAGTGTATGTTTTAGCAGAGGTCAGCATGTATTTAATCCTTATTGAGTTTGTTGGGAGCAGTGATGGTTGTAGAGTCTAACAACTGCTGGGAGGAAGGACCTGCGGTAACGCTCCTTTGTGCATTTAGGAGCAGGAATCTGTCACTGAACGAGCTCTCCAGTTCAGCAACAGCTTCATGCATGGGGTGGGAGATGTTGTCCAGCAATTATGTTATTTTAGCTAGAGTCCTTCTGTCTCCCACCACCTGCACTGGGTTGAGGGGGCGTCCAAGCACCGAGCTGGTCTTCTTGATGAGCTTATCTAGCTGCTTCTTCTCAGCTGATGATAAGCTGCTGCTCCAACACACAACACCATAGAAGATGGCTGATACTACTACCGAGTCAAAGCAGGTCTTCAGGAGCACCCCCTGAACTCCAAAAGACCTCAGTCTCCTCAGCAGGTAGTCTGCTCTGACCCTTCCTGTAAAGTGCATCAGTGTTGTGAGACCAGTCTTGTTCAGGTGAACACCCAGGTACTTGTAAGAGTCCACAATTTCCATGTCCACTCCCTGGATGTTCACCGGGCTCAGTGAGGTGGGTCTGTGCCTGCGGAAATCCACCACCAGCTTCTTAGTTTTAGTTTTAGTGTGTGTGTGTGTGTGTGTGTGGGGGGGGGGGGTCTGTGAGTGTGGGGTTGGGTGGAGGGGGTGTTACCCATGTATCTGTTTATGGTGCAACTTAGACTCAGATTAATGTATTGCGCTGAAAATTGTGCTGAAAATTGTGCTGAAAATTTAGGGAAAAGAAAACATGGAAAAATTCATAGTTTGATATTTTTATTTCGTTATATTTGTAATATTATTTACTGAATTATCAATGCATATTCATTGTTCAATATTTCATTCTGTTTTTCTTACACAGCATCCCATCTTAGTTGGAAAATGCTATGAGAAAACCAGTAGTATCTTCGTTTTACAAATGGTTTAACGCTCAAAGCAACAGCATAATCACTTTTGCACCTTTCATGAATATGTTTGTTTCTTGTTAGGAATAAGATTGGAGAGTTTATGGCTGTCCAATGCTTCTAAACAGTGAGAGTGGTTCAAATTAAGCATGTATGGTACTCGCAGATCTAAACAGTGGTACAGAAAACAACTCAGAACTCCAAAGATGTCATCAGTCGTAACACACACTTACGTAGTTTAAAAACTTGCAAAAACAGAAAAACATTTCCTATAGACGTATGCCTAAAATGGATGCTCTGTATGTCAATATATCACTTATTTTACATTTGTTTATTTCAGTTGTTTATTTTGAAGTTGTTATTGTTCAAAGGCAGACTGAAAAAATATATATTTACTGGAAATTTTGTCACAAGCTTAAAAATCTGGTTACAATCAAACACACTTGTCAATAAATTATCTAACCACACTGGACTTTTGTTGTTTAGCGTTTGGATCCATTCTTTTTCTGCAATTTGTGGTTCCTCAGTTGCTCCAGAAAGCCAGGGTTGGGGTCAGAGGCAGGCCGGGTGGATTTAACCAATGAGATCGCATCATCGAAGGACTGGCCATCACATGACATCAAGTAGCCTATGACGACAGCCGGTGCACGTGAAACACCAGCATTGCAATGGACCAAAACAACACCTTTCTGAAATAGAAACACACAAATTATGGAACTGTATCAATTGCTCTTGGCCACATGAGGGCAGAAGTTATTCATAAAAAATGACATTTGCAGGTGCTGGTCATAAAATTAGAATATCATGAAAAAGTTTATTTATTTCAGTAATTCCATTCAAAAAGTGAAACTTGCATTATTCATTACACAGAATGATATATTTCAAATGTTTAATTCTTTTAACGTTAATGATTATAACTGACAACTTATGAAAACCCCAAATTCAGTATCTCAGAAAATTAGAATATTACTTAAGACCAATTTAAAAAATATACTTTTAGAAATAATGGCCAACTTTAAAGTATGAACATGAGAAGTATGACATGTCAGCACTCAGTACTTGGAGCTCCTTTTTCCTGGATTACTGCAGCAATGCGGCGTCACATGGAGTTGATCAGTCTGTGGCACTGCTCAGGTGTTCTGAGAACACAGGTTGCTCTGATAGTGGCCTTCAGCGCTTCTGAATTGTTGGGTCAGGCATATCGCATCTTCCTCTTCACAATACCACATACATTTTCTATGGGGTTAAGGTCAGGCGAGTTTGCTGGCCAATTAAGAACAGGGATACCATGGTCCTTAAACCAGGTATCGGTAGCTTTGGCACTGTGTGCAGGTGCCAAGTCCTGTTGGAAAATGAAATCTGCATCTCCATAAAGTTGGTCAGCAGCAGGAAGCATGAAGTGCTCTAAAACTTCCTGGTAGACGGCTTTGTTGACCTTGGACCTCAGAAAACACAGTGGACCAACATCAGCATATGACATGGCACCACAAACCATCACTGACTGTGGAAACTTGACACTGGACCTCAAGCAACACAGATTCTGTGCCTCTCCTTTCTTCTTCCAGACCCTGGGACCTTGATTTCCAAAGGAAATGCAAAATTTACATTCATCAGAGAACATAACCTTGGACTGCTCAGCAGCAGTCCCAGGCGAGACGCTTCTGACGTTGTCTCTTGTTCAAGAGTGGCATGACTCAAGGAATGCGACAGCTGAAACCCTTGTATATGTATGTATGTAAACACCCCACCCCCACCCCCACCCAACACACACACACACACACACCCCATAACCTGACTGTGAGAGGATTCTGCTCTTAAAATGATGTTGCTATTTTATTCAAACTTTCAATAACGTTGTCATCCCACACACATCCCCTCCAAGAAATCATGCTAGATAAGCCCCTGGAGCTCCGTCTGGCAGAAGGAGCTGGGTGACCGGGTTCTGCCGCTTAGGTGGAACCCGGAGGGGGGCGGGGGAGAGGAGGAGGGAGAGGGGTGGGGACGCCACTGCGGGCAAAGAGCATTGCCCAAATCATGGTGCGAGCAGCGCATGGGATGCTAAGGTTAGCATAAACACGTGGTCATTGCAGCTGTCTGAGACATGTCCAAAAAAGTTCAATCTGGTCCTCTGGACATTCAAAAAAAAAACCAACAAAAAACAAAACAAAGCAAAAAAAATCTAGAAACGTTTCGTCTCTCATCCAAGAGACTTCCTCAGTCTGAGGTGCTGTTTTCAGCTCAGTCTCTTAAATAGCACCTTCTCAGAGTGGATCAACCAGTTTGCTGCTGACAACCAAAACCAGCTGCTCACATGCTCAAGAAGGACCATCAGCCTAACAATGGATCATTAGCACACTGATGGCTGTTTACTACTCACAGAGGGCTGAGTGATACTAGCAATCACAGCATTATAAGAGGGGGGACAGTTGAACCCGGAGGCCTCCACCCCTGTTTAATGATGGATTCCATCATTAAACGGGGTGGAGGCCTTCGGGTTCAACTGAGGTGCTGTTTTCAGCTCAGGGCTGAAAGACTCAGACTGAGGAAGTCTCTTGGATGAGAGACGAAACGTTTCTAGATTTTTTTTGCTTTGTTTTGTTTTTTGTTGGGGTTTTTTTGAACGTCCAGAGGACCAGATTGAACTTTTTTGGATTTTTCTACCTGGATTATTGAGCATGCATCAGGATGTCTGAGACATGCACTGATATTCTGTCAGTGATTCTAGCTGAGAGCTGGTTGTTGCGGAAAAGGGTCGACAACCATCATTTGACATGTCAAACCGTTCTGACCCTGGAAAAAATACCCGACAGGCTTAGCTCTAGAAGAGAAACAGGTGTTCTCATCTTAGCAGTTGGGAGGCTGCACACGACATTTCACCGACACGCTAGACGCGAGGTCAAGCTGAGTCTCGGCAGTCAGAACGAGTCAGCTAAATGTCCCGCCGAGTCTAGGTTGGAGCTAATGGCTCAGGCACAGCTAGGTATAGCATTAGCCACTCCTGAATGTAGGTTGAATGTACGGCAGAACAAGTATACCAAAACGTTGGGAGGGTAGAAAGCAACATGTCAGCGGCAGCCATGTCTTCAGCCCTTTAATCAAGAAGGGGGAGAGTGAGGCCACTTGTTAACTCTTATTTGGAGGCAGAAATTTGCATAGCTCCTAAAGAAAAAAAGAGATCCTACTTGCGTGTCCTGCTTCCGAGGCAGATGTGCAGGCTGAACCGTTTGGAACTGAGGACACATCCCATCCGCTAACATCTTTTTTTTAGCTTTCCATGTGTTGCTTCGCTGGCTGAAGAAAATGGGGAGCAGGTCTACAGACTCATATGCTATTTATGCGGTCTAGAGGTAGGGTCCACACAGTGTGTGGGCATGGACTAGAGTTTTTCAGTGTTGCACGTTGCGGGCGGGGTGAGACCCAAAAAGTGTGACTTAAAGAGCAAGCCCATATGAAATAGAATTGAGTGCTCACCGTACGGCACATTCCGTCACACAAGATGGGCAGCTATACAATGGCCAGAACAGCTGCCAATGTTTTCCGTATTTGTCAATATGCCAGGTAACCGCCAACTCTATAAAGCAGAAATCCTGTTATCATAAATCCAATTATGTGCATGTCTTCTACATCCTCAACAGACAATATGGACAGATGCACAATCTTCCACTGACCCCAGGAACCCATTGTGTATCCAGCTGCAAGTGTCCCACCAGGGCAAGAGGGCTCTCCTTTGCCCTGTCTTCTTGTCAAGATAATTTTATCAGTTCCATTGAGAGACCATCTAACCCGATCCATCATTTACAATTCAGAAGATAGACAGAGAGGCTCCGACATGGTTCACAAGACAAAGAGCATAGCAGGAGAAATGCAGGAGCAGGAGGGAAAAGTGTCCGCCTTTGCCGATAGCAAGCAGGAATGTATGAATATATGAACAAATTAGGTTC